GGTCTGTTCCCTTTCAAAATAAAGTTTTATCACTAAGATGTAAAATGTGTGTGTTTTGCAAAAGTACACAATAAAACATCAGACTGAATGTTTCATCTGAATGTTATTTTTCTAACTTCTGCCAACATTTGGCAGATGTGAAAATAACCTGGCATTGGTTGAAATGAAGTGACGTGGCTGGTAAATGTGTGTAATTTGCAGTTTGCTTCAGTATAACTGACACATATGCACTGGTCTCTTTGTACTGACTTCTGAAAGGTCGCCTGGTCCAGCTGGTGTTCAGTGCAAGGTCCCAACCCCATCAGTTCAATATCATTCTAACATTGCTCAATTATATGGGCCATATGACACTGATTGGTCCAAACCTCATAACAATGAGGATTAGTTGTAAAAAATAAATCATTTAAGTAAAATCATTAAGTTCTATTTTTCAAAATTAGATCTGAGATAACATTACATAAAACACTCTCCGTGTGTACATGTGGAAAATTTCTTAATCTGTTTAAAAATATGAGGGGATCAGAAAATCAGAATCTACTTTTTAAAGGGGTGCAAAAATAATTAACCTGATCATGTCGTGCCTATAGATGCACCAAGCTTTTTCAGATTAGAAGCATTTGGACATGCGCAGAGTTGTCTAATTTTGCTAAAACAACTGCAAAAGAAGAGTTGTATTTATGCCCCTGCTGTCAACAAACCAACAAACGCAGTCGTGGCTTATTTAATCTAATTCAGGATTTTCCCCCCTGTTTAATGTTGTCACTAGATGGCGCCCTTGCTCATTTATTTTACTGTTCTGTCAAAGGTTGCACTGTGCGTGTAGATGACACATCATTACGATGTATGTACGCCTTGTTATGTTAATGGAAGAGCAGACACAGCATCTGCGGTTGTATTTTATGTCAGTGATAATAATAAAACCTCCTATACTGACCTCGATAAATAAGCCAAAGGCTAAAGAGTGAAGATCGAGTCAGGTAAGAGAGTCACGATCTGAATAAGCGTTTACATGGACGCGTTTCAGAATAACGATTGGCGTAAACCAACCCTCTCATTCGGAACACAATTTCTTTCCGATTGAGCTGGATTGGATCAGAATTTTACAATCCATTTGTTTACATGATGCTTTTTTATTCCGATCGGGCATTTATACCAATTATTTGTGCCCATGTAAACGCAGCTAGTATTATCAGATCTGGTAATCTGCTAACTACCTTTTCACTATGTAGACCTATAACTACCAATATAGTTTATTTTTTTGAACTGGAAGGTTGTTCCCTAGACCATATCTGTGCTGCGCTAGACTTAGGGAATATCATTGTGACCGCCCATCATTTGTTACGAAGTTGTACATCATATGACTGTTGAGAAACTTTGCAAATTATCGTGGTTGCCTCAATAATTGAACAACGAGCAACGATAAAGAAAAGTCAAAGTGGAAAGTGAAAATCCTCAAAGATATCAGGCCATGTTCCACGAGCTACTTCCAGAAAAAGAGCTAAACTTGAGTTCAGTTTCTATAGATGTAGTTTTAAGCTCACGTAGGGAGGAGCTCCTTACCTGTACTGTTGGTCTATTCATAGATCGGACACAATTTCAGCTGTTCAAATCCACATTCTAGTGAAACACAGCTTGTACAGATGAAAATGTTGTATCAAAAAACTTTGATCAATAACCAATATACCCAGTGATTAGCATCGTACAAAGCTGGTGGTTGGGAATTAGGAAGTTATTGCAAGAAAGAGGCATGTTTCACTTCAACTGAATGCATACAGGCTTATTTAAATGCATGCAAACATCCTTGGTTTGGCACACAGACACTGTTTGCTCTGCATAGTTTGGAGCAGTTCATGCTGTTTTAAACCCTTAGCATGTGCAGCTCTGACTTATTTGCACAGGTTTAGCGGGTGCAAAAGTGGCGCAACTGTTTTGTAAATCAGACTCTCAACTGGCTGACTTGATGTGATTGATCATTTCTACTTTACATAAGTGAGCAATAATGATGTTTACAGAGGAGCACAGGTGGGAGACAGCGGTCTTGTTTTCATTTTGAATTTAAGCCTCAATGCAGCAGCTTTGCCCTTTTAGTTAATCATGTGGGAATACTTGGAAACTCATTAACCTGTTTCTTGCTTTGTTTGGAGGAAAGCACTGGCACACAGGTGAGTACTTTCTACCTGAATGCCCAAGCAGAAAGAAACGCACATGCTGGCAGGACTGCACTTAAAGAGAAAAAACTTTTCATACAAATCTGTCTGAATCTGATCTATCACTATTTCAAAGCACTTTAATATAATTGAACAATAAAAATTAATTACAGACATTTGTCCATCAGAAAGAGCTCCAACCCCTTGAAAACAATCATCTGTTCTTCTCATCTGTGCCAAATTGCACTTTTAATGGGCTTGATCAGCGGGCTAGGAGATAAATGCAGTTATAATTACAAGATTTCCAGTAATTAGTTTCCTTTTTTCAAGATCTTTTGTCTTTTTGAAATCTGATTCCTTAATAATAACCCCAGAGATGCCTCTTTCTTCATCAAATAAACTGGCACAGCTTTTGTTCGTCAGATCCCTTGGACGCTGCTATTGAACAGCAGTGAGAGACTTCTTTCTGGCAGACTATTACTCACAAATATGTAAAGCTACAAACCCTTAAACCTGTCAGCACTGAGGATTTTTCTTAGTTTCCACTGAGACATGTTTTAGAAAGTTCAACACTCCTCTGTAACGGGAGATCAAACATCTCTTACCTGCCTCTGTGGTTGAAAGATTTTAGGATGATAAAAAGATGTTCTTTCAAGTTTGCTGAGGAGAAAAAACATGAATCATCTCGCAAATGCATCACAGAAAGGAGAAAATAAGAGAAACATGACCTCACAAATGATCAATGCAGAAGTCTCTGTTTCTTCAAGGCAAACAGCACCAAGTTGATGTAAACTCAAGAAGGAACTGGAGCAATTTATTAACGTTTGACCAAAGTCTTCCCACCTTCTGATGGCTACTTCCTACTCAAACTAGACAGTAAGTCCACTCCACTCAAGTGTCCTCCACTTAGCATTATTCAAAAGTGCTGATCTAGTTCATTCATCGTTCAATGTTAAAAAAAGTCAGACAACTTTAGTGCTTGCAATCATAACACTTTGTTTTTAACAAAATCCTATTACGTGTTATTTTTAGAAGCTCAAAACCAGCTTTATCCTTGACTACACTACACAGGACATTAGAAGCGACTCTGTGATTAATTGTCCTTCTAATACTGGTTTATGTTCCTTTCTCGAACCTTTGCTGTATCACATGCTGAAGGTCCAAGCCTCCTCAAAAATATAGCTAGAAATTAAAGCGATATGGACTTCAAGCCCTGTGATTGGTTTGCTTGGTGGCTCACATCTCCACTGTCTAACTGTCTCTCTTCTCCGGTGTCATCACTCTCTTCCTCTTTGCAGTAATCAACTCCTGCACTCCTGCGTGCTGGATCAAGGCGCTGCTAGGTAGAGGTGCAGGGGTAGAGTCTGGAATGGACTGCTTGTACGGAGTGCTGATATCAGAGATTTTAGATGCAGGCCGATATAATCTGATATTCTTTTTTTTGCTGATTGTGTACCGATATCCAATATCAATATCGTATCGGGACACCCCTAATTCCTATTATAAAATAGCAAGTGAAGCTAGGGCTGGGCTATTTGGCAAAAAAAAAAAGATCACAATATATTTTGTCATATCGTCTGATCTCGATTAAAATCACTTTTTTTTTTTAACTGCCAGTTTTAAATCATCTGTACTAAAAACTAAAGAAACTAGATTAGTTGAACATTTTATTGACATACAAAGTAAATAACAAAGCAAATTGAATAAGAGACACTTAGAAAAATATAAAAAACATTTTTTATCAACAGCACAACAAATGTAGATAAATACTAAATAACAGTGAATTAGTTTACAGTCCTGAGTGTTTTTGCAGGTATGCAAGACCCAAAATAAACAGATCGCCCCCTCAGAGATAATGAAGATGCCTTAAAATGTAAACATTAGATGATGGAAACGTAGATGATAAGACTGATTGCTGCTTTAGTCTGGTGGCTTCACCGCTAGTTGTGGCTAACCTGCTAATGCTACTCATGCCGTCAGCAATGACAGGCTGTGCAGACTCCGCTCATATTTTCATGCTTTCCGCATAATAGCTTGGTGAGTACTTCTTCAAATGATTAAACAGATTTGTTGTGTTGCCGGTTCTGAGGGCACCGACCACCAACATACCTTGCACATCAGCTTAATTGCTCGATGTCACTTTGGAGATACCTGAACCACTGCCACACAACCGATGTTGAATGACTTTTCTTCTCAACAATGGCATCTTCGGAGGATGACTCAAAGTCATGGTTGACATCTATTTACTTCTCCTGTTTACTTCTCCGGAAACTTCCAGAAGTGAGCAGGAAAAGCTTGACTCTGATCAGCTGTTGTGACGCACATTTCCGCCATGTTTGATTGAGTAAATATGCTCACAGTCCTCAATCACCCAGTCCTAACTGAAGTATTTGATTGTGAAACTCCAAGTCAACCCATGACTCGTACTCTGTTGGTACGCTGACTGGCTACCCCCCCCCCCCCCCCCCCCCCCCACCACCATTATATTATCTGAATCTGGACAAAGCTATAGGTCAGTTGGGTTCATCCTCTGAAGCGCAGGAATATCTGTACATATTTCATGCAGCCCACGCCTTCATGTTGAGACTCATGGCTGTTTTCATCAGTCGGTTTCCTCCATCACTTGAGAATCAGAGCTGGAGGTGTTGGTTGATGACATGGAGGTGAGACGTTTAACTCTTGTGTCTGAGGAAGCTCCCGCTAAAGGCTGCAGGGGTGCTACATGTCAACACCCTGTTCTTGAATTTGATATAAGCAGCTCCAGGCAGCTGGTGGAGGAAGTGAGAGATGAGCTGGGATAATTTGTTTAAGTTGAATGAATTTTTTAGAGGTTTAGAAGTATTTTAAGGAGCCGGGTTCAGCAGAGGGAAGTGCAGATGGGAGATGACAAGGAGTTGGACATATCGCCAGGGGGTGTCCCTGGTCCCTCAGGGGGGCGTCCTGCTGTCCGTGCCGTGTACAAAATTTAGTTCTTGAGGATGAAGCACTCTTGGATGTCTGCTTATGAGTCACAGCAGGGATGTCACTGAGAATATAAGCAGTCCTCAAGAAAGAGAGACCAAGGAGGAAGACCAGGAGGTTTAGATGGCACAGAGGAATGGACTGAGAAATAATAACAGTATAGAAATATGGTATTATAGCTTCTTTCAGCACTGATAAATAGATATCCTGAAACACACCGGTAGATGATGGATTTCCCTGAGTCTAAAAAGGTAACCTGAGGTTTTTAGAGTAAGTTGAGGGCAAACTGTGGTTGCTGTGATGCCATTATAAGCAGCATTTGTAATTTAATTGTGGCCTAATGTTTTGTTTAACAGATGTTAATGTTTGACTCTTGATTAGCCTTTCCATTTAGTATAAAAAGGTGTGAAAATTAAATTGAATAGGGGCTTTGTCCTCTTGTCACAAGGCAAAAAGAAAAGGTGGTAATGCAGCAGGATGAATGCTTGTGCAAAGAGGGAAATGGCAGCCTTAAACAGTGCGGGGTGATTTTTCTTTTCTGGGGGGATTTGAGGGTGCTAGTTCAGAAAAGGAGTTGGTAGCAAACTCGGGGGAGAAGTGGCTTACACCTCCAGAGCTAAAATGTCCACCAATTTAAGACAAAATTGTTGGTCACCATTGTCTAGAATGGGATAAAGGGTAAATATATAGGAATCTGGTGGGAATGGCAGGTTGGGATCTCAACAAGGTGAACAGGGCTCCATCAGAAATAAAAGAAGAGGATTCAGACAGCTACTAACAAGACAGACACAGATTAAGCAGATTTTTAACATCAACAGAGGTTATTGATAATAAGTAAATATGAGTTTATATTGTAATATGTTGTTGGGTTTTAGAGCTGCTACCAGAGTGCTGAACACAGTGTAATGTAAGTATGACAGAGAAGAAAATAGACTGGCAGTTATAAATTATAAGTAGTGTAATTGTGTTACTGACATTTTAATTGTTTTTAAACACTTGAAAATATGTTTCATCTATCTTGCATAATTTCCTGTATTTTATTTCCTTGCAAATCTGTAAATTATTTTGAGGAGAGGAAGAAAATCTCGAAATTAGGAAGGACAAGGATGTCCCCTCCTCGAACTGTTTGCCCCTCTGAACCACCAACAAAACCCTCTGTTAAGCATTAACCCCCAATTTTCACCACATCCAGAACAGCTCTGATCCGGAACGGTGGCTATTTTCGCCATCCGCCAATTCCTACCTGATCTGTTTGTGAGGGGAATTTCGTGGTGGATTACGGTCAGCGGGAATCACGGATTCACATGCAATCGCGCAATAACAAGTTGTCTCTAGCCACATAGGCTAACCATATAAGCAGTAGACTATGTCCTTCCAGAGGAGGAAATCTACTCCTAGACTTATAAAATCAGCATCCTCTCATCCATGGTGTCATCAGAGTGAACAGGTTAATCTGTGCTAAATTTATCCGGCATGATCCAGCGTCCAGAAAAAATAGAACTCTTGCGATAGGCTGCAGAGTCCGGCGATCAGAAGCATCCTGCAGTGGAACGGAAAGAAGCCGGTGGAAATCGACACATTGACTTGGATGGTTACGATTGGCGGATATGGATTTTTTGTAGTCATTCCGGATGCAGTGTAAATTGGGGGTAATCCATCTGTTTTTTTTTAATACTAAAATAACAGACGAAACATTAAAACACAAAAAATGATCAAAATAAACTAAATTGAAAAAAACCCAGCCTTTAAACGAATCAAAACTAAACATACAAACATACAACCAAAATTAAATACATTAAAAACTAACAAAATTCAGAAACTATTGTAACCTTAGTTTCTCAAAATTTGACACAGTTTCTGACGTGGTAGACAGAAAGATAATGTAATTTGACTTCAGCATTTTTCAAAATATAACTCGAATTATGTTTTGTTGGTTATGTTTTGAAAACTGCAAAGCTATGTGAGAAAGACCATCAAAACCTAGCCTGGCTGGGCCATCCAGTTGCGTGAATCACTTGCCGTTCCTTCCCACAACAGTCTGGACTTCGGCCAATTGGAAGCGTGTATTACAAATCAGAAAATAACCGGGCCAATCAGTGACTGTGTTTCCACTGTTCCCTGGACAACAGTGAAAGGCAGCCCCTGATTGGTCCATGTGTAGATGGTAACGTCTAACACATGCTGCGGGACTTTTCAAAGCGCCGTTCATTCAGAAGGCCGTTAATTCTGCAGTTGACTTTGCAAAGTCGGCAGAAATCGTTTATATCCGCAGAAGACGTAAAAGACATTGTTTGCTCGCACATGTTGAAATATTCCCAAACCTTTACTTGATGCTTGAGAGCCCAGCAGGGAACACAGTTGCGCACTGTGATGACGTCAGATGTTTGGTGACGGTGATTGGTAACAGTAGTCTGTCTATCAAAGAAAATACTCCCGCCCACTTTTAGGGCTCCCAGTGGGCCAAAGTCCAGACTGTTGTGGGAAGGAACGGCAAGTGATTCACACAACTGGATGGCCCAGCCAGGCTAATCAAAACCTACTTGAAAAGGAGAAAGAGAAGCAAAGTGAGAGTCCAGCACATGGTAATTGAATGATCATGGATCTATGAAAATAAACACATATATCTATGCTCATGTTAAGTTATGCTTAGTAGAGACTGTAGCCGAGCCGTGAGAGAGAAAAGTATGAGTATGTAGTGATTCTTTATGTATCCCCCAGGCTGTTAACTGTCTACAATCTCCATGATGAGGCTCATTGATTACATGCTAGTCTATACTTGTAATGGTTTGGATCTAACAATGTCCCTGATCCTGCACACACCCCACTCTCACATAAACACAACCGTTGTCACAAGATTGTCTCATCATGCAAAAGTCTGTCTTTGGAGCGCTGTCTGCTTGTGAAGTTAGTGCTGGGTTTAATCCCCTGGTTTCCTGAATGCCATGCCAGAGTGGGATAAGATGACATGACTGTCTGGCTCGGAGACAGCTTCCAGATGCCTCTCATGTCAGTTTGTCACAGCAGGGTTTGATGGTGCTTCAGGTGACAGGTAGGCAGTCTGGGAGGAGTGAGCTCTGCCTCTTTTTAAGTGCTTTTGCAGCCACAGTGACACTCTCAGCTCCTCTTACTTGCTTCAGATCAGAATACCTCATTTGTCTCACTGTGGGATAAAACAATGACTGTTATTCATTTTGTTGGCTTCACTGGCGGAAAAAAAGGAAAATGCTTTTATAAATCTATTTCTTTTCTCCTTTTTCTATGCAACCACCTACTTGTGTCAGACAATTCTGCTTTTTAAGATTGTCCTGCTAAACACATCTAGACCTGGAAGCTAGCTCTGTGTGTTGGCTCCATAGCAGCAGCAGCAGGGGGTTGGTGGCCTTGCCTAAGGGCACTTAAACATTGGCACGCACGGCTCCTTTAATCTCCTCGCCCTTAGTGTATCCTGCCATGGCAGGGGTTGAACCAGCGACCCCTGTATCTACACTCTCTTTGAAGGACAGATACAATACAAGGATGACATTGTATAAGTGCATATCAGTGTTATCTTTTACTTGGGCAGGACTCTTGACATTTATGTCCCATTCAGTGCAAGCATAACTGGCAATTTCCACCACAAACGGATGGCTTTACGGCTACGTACAGACCGTATCTGCCGATCATAACCATTCAAGTCAATGTGTCAATCTCCACCGGCTTCTTTCTGTTCTGCTGCAGATCGCCAGACTCCATAGCTGATTGCAAGAGTTCTATTTTTTTCTGGACGCCGGAGCATGCTGGATAAATTCAGCACAGATTAACCTGTGCTGGATAGGAAGTCGGGCACATACATAAAATAAAACACCCGGCTTCTTTTCAAAATAAGACACTTGTTTTAGGCAGATCATATTTTACATCATGCAAACGGGCGGGAACGAACAAGTGAAAGGTTTTTAGACAGCATTTCACCTCAATAACACCATGGATGAGAGGATGCTGATTTTATAAGTCTAGAAGATTTCCTCCCCTGGAAGGACACAATCTACTTCTTGTATGGTTAGCCTATGTGGGTAAAGACAATTTGATATCGCGCGATTGCATGTGAATCCGCGGGTTCTTGTGAGTTCTCGCAATTCCTGCTGTCCATAATGTGCCGTGAAATTCGCCTTACAAACGGATCCGGTGGGCATTGGCGTACAGCGAAAATCACCATCGTTCCAGATCTGAGCCGTCACGGATGCGGCAGAAGTCCCAGGTAATGCAGTACAATACAGTTTTGTTCCAGTATGTGCCTCATTCAGAACTCTAGTTTGAGAAAAAAAAAAAAAAAAGTTTTTCTTATAGTTTGAATAATTTCTCAGAAACCAGGATTTGTCAACCATATTGGTCTTAAATCTCTGCAGATACACCTGGCAGTGAATGTCGTGATAGAGTTAACCCTCTGTGGGAATGTTTGTTTTTTGTAACTGAGACTTTTCCAAGGCAGCTGGCTCCACAGGAACAGAAGCCTGGTGTTCAGTGCTCTTACGGTGCTGTCTTAACAGGTGAATAGAAAGCTTTGCATATTGTGCAAACAGCTTCTTGTTTATCAAGGAAGCCTCTTGTTTTACAAAAGCTAATAAGTGTCCACACTTAAGTCAGCGTGGTAATCCCTTACTAGTCTTTGTTATTTAGAGAGATTGATTCAGCTCAACATGCATTGACATCGCTCACATGGTGACAAATGTTTATATTTTCTGCCATTTTAAAGTGACAGCAGAAGAAAAGTAGTTCAATAAGCCTGCTTGAACAGAGTGTATTTAAGTTCAAAGAGGCTGAAGTAGGCTGTGTAATTAGTGACCCCCCCCCCCCCCCGGTGAAGAAACACCTCTGCTCTTTCAGGAAATAGAAGCAGACACAATGATTGGTTTGATTCCATCCTAATTCACCCGATTGTGCATCCCTTAACTAGCAAAAAGCATTCTGACACAGAATTTTTTATAGTTATAATGAGGCCCTTCATTCCTTTGCTTTTAATATATAAGAAAATGTTGTTTCTGCAACATGCTGTTTATGTCTTCATCTGGCACCGACCCTGTAGCATTATTTTAAGGCACTAAAAACATCCAATCCCTCTTAATGCTGGTGGTCTAGTTCGCTTTCGTCGCTCATACGGCAGCATCAATTTAATGTTTTGACTGTTTCTTAAGTAGCTCAAATCTTCTCACAGGACCTCTAAGGTTCTTAATCTGTTTTCCTCTCTTGTCTGGCATTCTGATTGTTTTGTTTTGTTTTGTAGCAGGTTTTGTCATTTTGTAAGCATTAAAACCAAGACTGCATCTTTTACTGTGGATTTTCTTCACAGAATACCCTGGGTGCTGGACTGGGTACTTCATGCTGTGTTTTGTCTCCATCGTAAAAGCTCTAATTACTCCATAATTTGATCTCCTGCCACATTTCTTGCAAGTAATGTTTTGGAAATGAACAATACATTCAGAATTTGGGATATACATAATTAAAACAGACTTAATGTACAGAAATAGCAGCAAGCACACTTCTGTTTCAATCCAACATAATCCAGTCCTTGTTTATCTGCAGAGGAAAGTGACAAACAAGGCAGAGTTGCTTTTATTACACAAGAGTCAGAGTAGAAAATTCCATGAAAATATTAATGCATGAGGAAACAACTGATTGAAAGATAAGTCATGCAGCCTGACTCAGAGGTTTTATATAATAAGATTCCAACATGGACACATGTTGATGCGCAGCTGTTCACATGAGGTTGCTGCCATGCTGCATCATGTACAGTGAAGGTCTGCGGTAGTTTTAGGACAAATTTAACTCAGTAATGTCTGCATATGAACATAAGTCACTCTAAACTATGTCTTTTTACAAGATTCAAGTGTATCTAGTGGAAAAAGCGTCCTTGACATCTCTTCTGTAGTAAGCAGACTCACAAATGCATATCCTATTCTGCACATACTGAGCACAAAGAGAATGATAGGAATAGGCATCATCCAGTGAGCGATCAATGCGTGGCAGGGAAATGACTATTGAAATTGAGACTTTCTTTGCATATTAAGCTGTTTTAGCTTGTCAATCAGAATAGGAATAGTTGACGTGTGAACAATACTAACCATGGTGACCACAGAATGGAAAAAAAAGAATCATGCTGTGACTTGACCGATGGACGTGTTACACTACACAATGGCCCACGAGCAGTCATCATGACCAGCAGGAAGACACTGGGAGGAAAAGCGACAGGGTGACACTATGAGGGATAACCTAGTGACAGGATTACCAATGGAAGACACACATGCTGATACAAAACCTTGATTAAACTATGATTTTATTGATTTAAATGGAAAAAAAGAGTATTGAATAGTATGTTTGACTGCATGGAAGGTGATGCTGCCATAGCAACGGATTATCATCAGCTTCTTTGAATTAACATGAATCAGAACACTTGATTTAATAGCCGCAACATCGACTTGTTTAGCTGAATTGATGTTTTCCATTTAAGGTTATGTGAGAAAAGGTGACTGTTTTCTTCTTCAGGAAGTTTTTTTGCTGTTGCCTGGATTGCGGGACACATTCTTGGACCTATAGGCTCCTCTGACTTGCACGGTAGCAATGTCAAGACCTGCCTGATATGCATGTAAACATTTGATTTTACTTCTACTGTTATTCTGTGTTAAACAATGTCATAATACGTGCAAACTTACATGGTAAAACTTAATCGTGAGACTAAAAGTTGTGGTTTTGCCACAGTGCCAACAGGCCAAGGTAGACTGTGTGGGATTAATTTGATATAAGTCAGGTTAATTATTGGTTTTTGACCAATCAGAATCAAGTATTTGATAAGGCCAGGTAATAACAGTTGATTAGTTGACATGCACAGTTAAGACGAGCTGCGGTTGTAGCTTGATTGGGCGATTTCATTGAACTACTGTCCTCATCTCGGTCTGGAACATTCAGGCAAGCATTGACTTTTTGACAAAAATAAGAACTTATGCTACACTAGGTGGCGACATGCTTCCTTTCAGCTTTACCAAAACAATTGAAAAAGCGTTAGAAAGAGGCTAACATGTACGTTGAACGATAAAAACACCAATAGCCTTACATTTTTGTACCTCTTGTATGCACAATATGATTGCAACATCTCGTTCTTCTGTTGAGGTTTTGTTTACTATGACTTGTCCACCTTCTGAGTCAAATGCCCACAAACATACCTTCGACCAGAAAAGAGAAAAAAAAACAACAACCCCAAACTGCATTTTCTAGGTATGTTTGTACAACTTACACGACTACGGCATCAATCAAACCAATCTGTGCAATAGGTGTGTGTGTCGCCATCTGTTTGTGTCCATTCACTGTGCAACTACTATTAAAGTATTTGTGTAAATTTAAGGAGTAGTTGTGGGTCTAGTATTTACAGCCCCCCCTCTGCGATCACTCTCATTACAAAGAGAATGCTGACCTTGGTCGGACACAAATGGATCTTTAAGAGACAGGCTCTTCCATCACAGTGAAATGGAGCGCTCCCCATCTCACAATACTGCTATTAAGTTTCATCAAGGCTCATTACGTGCTGAGTCTTTGTCATCCTCTCCACACTGTAAAACCTTTTTCTGCAAACAGACAACAATAGGTTAATTGTCACACATGCTGGCAGTTGTTGCTGGTATGTGTCTCTCTTAATAGGAAGTAACTCTTGGGAGGTTTTAGGTATGAATGTTCAAGGAAATAGCTTGTGACAGAAATTGCAAATAAATGACTGCATTTGTTACCAACACAACATTCAATACTCGCCACAAAAAAATCTGCACTGCAGGGTCTGTAATGCGACGCTTTAATCATGAAATAAGGTGAAGATCTTTTCCTCGTAATCAAATTGTATCCCATTTACCTTTATATTGATGTCAAAACTGCATAATATTTATTGAGTGTTATATTCAAGGTAAAAATCAGAGCAGCTCACTAGAGAGGAAATCAGAGGCACTTGAAATGGAGAAAGAGGGCATGTGAGAGAGGCAGGCAGGATGGTGGGCAGACATAGCAGCATGCTTATATGATCTTGACCCAGCAGTCGATAGGGAAGGGCGGTGAAACCTGATTACAGACAGCCCACATCCCAGCCTGCTGATTTCATTTCCCTCTCCCTGCTCAGTTGGGTAACAGACAAAGGTGTGATGTTCTGCACCACTACACTGCACCAGCATGATTAAACTGCTCAGCTCTACTGCTCCACTTTAATGTTGGCTGTAATGTACACATCAGCTTTACAAGCAACGTCTATAGGCATTGAAATTTCACATACAGGACTTTCTATGAGGGTATAGGAACTATGTAGACCATCTAAATAATAGACATAGCTACTGTGAGGCAAGCTCGTGATCTGTAGTCTACTTTTTTTGAAGCCGCAAGTTTGGTGTTTTGACAATTGAGTTACTGTTTTCATCTGAGAGTGGCCATTTTTAGGCCGGTGGAGTTGGAGACAAGTGATGGGGCGATGACAGATAAAGCTGTCAAAGCAAAGAACATTAATTTGTCAGCTATTTGACGGGTTAATGACAGCTTTTAAGGAAGAATATTAAACATCATAGAGGTCTGAGATCTCAGTCTATTACTCAGAGGACGAAGAGCACGGCATGTTCACTATTCACCAACACGTGGGAACAGTAAGAAAACGATCAGTATCAAATAGATATGTGACAAGGCAAAGCACATATATTTGCAAAGCACATTTCGGTGATAATTCAACTCCAAGTGCCTAACCGAAGACAATAAGGGCCGATCGAATTGTTTTCATTTTAATATCATTCGTTATGACGAGCTAGCTAACAAAGCTATAGCTATTGATAGCTACACTGATGTCAAACTACAGCTAAGGGCGGCTAAACGTTACAACAGAAGGTTGTTTTCCGACTTGTTTACTGGTATTGTCACATCAGCCTATGACACAGCCAGCAAGTCACAAGGCATGATGACGTAGCAGGAATCAAGCGGCGTCCCGTTTCGTCCGAGCATTTTCAACCCTTCCCTGTAGCCCTCAAAACAGAGGGCCAAGGGGAAGGGATAGACAGGGTAACGAGGCAGGTACGATGGGTACAGCCAATACCCTGTGTTGATATTCAATACTAGAGTTTTAAACACAACCCTATTTTTAGGATTTTTGAGTAAAATAAATGGACAGCAATCATGTTGTTTGATGTTTGCATTGGAAAATCTCCAAATGGCGCCAAAAATTCAAAATAGGTCATGAGGTTAAGGGTCTCTGCGAGGCCACTCATTGGTTTTCTGAAGAGGCCATGTCCTAAGACGCCAAACAAAGGAATTCTGCATATTGAAAACAGCGACTCCACTTGACTTGAGGTCTTCTTAGAAAGTGTCAGCTGAGGTGGTATTTAACCTCCCAGTAAACTGTCATAATGATTATGGTGGCTGTTTGCTGGGAGTTGATTGACAAATTACATTACGGTTTGATACAATCTATCAGTCAAGTCAGCTGTGCTTTTTATTGTTAACAGTATTTGTAAAACTATGAGTCTAGATGCTTGACAAAGAAGAAATCACAGCAGGTTCTGCATAAACTGTTTAAAACTGAGCATTTTATGGTGGACCAAGTGGGACCTTTGACTTTGGAACCAGCCTCAAGTGAATCCATTTAGGATCGACTCATTGCGGCATGTACCCCCTCTGGTGGTCATTATGGGAATTTAAGTTTTTAGCATTTCAACATTAGTTTTTCCTTCTTCGCTCTTGGAGTCTCTGCTTCCTTCAGAGCCTTGCTGAATATTAATTCATGAATTCAGGCCCTTGAAGCACTTTGTTTCATTTACTTGAAAAGGCCTGAGGTGATAAAAACGAGGAAATCAAACATTTTGAAGAAGCAGCTGTCCGTTCAGCCACCTCATGAGAATTTAATCAAGACCCATGAA